TAGCGAAGGTAAGAAGCACATAATAGTTTTATTTTTCACAATTTCCAGTTTCTTAATAGTTGTCTTCATCCATTTAATGACTTCTCTACTTCTCCACACACTGTTATAAATTCTAATAAAACAGAATCCATAAGCTGTAATATTAATTGACTCCAAAATTCCATCTGCAACCTGCTCATGATGATAATTATAATAAGGATATAAGAAGGTATAATAATGATATAATAAGAATTAAAACAAAAAGTGAATTATGATGATATTTGTAATAATATACAGATAGTCCCCTACTTAAGAACATTCTACTTATGAACATTACATACATACAAACAAAATTTTTAAAGTACTTAAGTCCAAAAAATTGTTTGAATGATGCTAGCAAATTTCAAATTTCCCGGGCACGAATATAGTTCCAAGAGTCTGGTACTGTATAAGGTATGTCGTACTTATTGGCATTAATGTGGCATTGCATTATTCCATCTTTCATATTTATACCTCAGTATATCTGACTTCGGTTTAGAATTTCTAAATCAATTTCCACCGAGTGCCCACAGGGAGTGTGTGTAAAACCTCACTATCATTACTCATGTATGAGTAGATAGGTAATGTCTATGGAGCTAGTTAGATCCTAGTTGCACACGCCTTTTAGTGGGTTGAATGGCACGGTTGGTTTAGTACTGGCCCTCCGGTCTCATATCCGGAGTTGCCTAGGTTCAAGTAATAATAATATTAATAAGAACGATGACAGAAAGTGAATTATGATAAAATTAGTAATGATGATATTTATAAGAAGGATAAAAAGTGAATGATAAAATTAGTAATAATGATATTAATAAAAATGATAACAAAAAGTTAATTATGATGAAATTAGTAATAATGATATTCATAAGAATGATAACAAAAAGTGAATTATAAAATTAATAATAATGATATTAATAAGAATGACAACAAAAGTGAATTGTGATGAAATTAGTAGTGTGATGCAGGCTTCTTCCTTTTGTGATGTAGGCTTCTTCCTTTTCACGAGATACTACATCATTGCATTATTCCATCTTTCATATTTATACCTCAGTATATCTGACTTCTGTTTCGAATTTCTAAATCAGTTTCCACTGAGTGCCCACGGGGAGTGTGTCTAAAACCTCGCTATCATTACTCATGTATGAGTAGATACGTAATGTCTATGGAGCTAGTTAGATCCACTCCTTTTAGTGGGTTGCATGGCAGGGTGGGTTTAGTACTGGCCCTCTGGTCTCATATCCGGAGTGACCTAGGTTCAAGTAATAATAATATTAATAAGAACGATGACAGAAAGTGAATTATGATAAAATTAGTAATAATGATATTTATAAGAAGGATAAAAAGTGAATTATAAAATTAGTAATAATGATATTAATAAAATGATAACAAAAGTCCATTATGATGAAATTGTTGACTGGTGCACAAAAATGGAATAGGAAAATACACCAAAACTCGTCCCAGAATTAGTGTAATGCAACGGAAATTGAATATGATCTGAGTTATATTGTATTCTTTGAACCACTTTGAACCCAGTCCAACAATCCCTGTAAGTATTATCACATAGTTTTCTTTTTCTTTTCTTTCTTCACCAGATTCTGCAGATCAGGCGGGGGTATTTTCTTTCTCCTGATTGGGTGGTTTGTTCCTCCTGACAGTTTTCTTCATCTTGACTGAGTGTTTTCTTCATCCTCTTAATATGGGTGTTTTTTTTTCTTCTTCTTCTGCTTCCTATTATTATTATTATCCTCCTCCTCATTGTGACTCCTCATTTAGTGTTTTTCTCTTTAATGACTGTCCTGATGGGGTGTTTCTTCTTCATCTTAGTTGACTGTTTTTGTACTCCTGACTGTGTATATCTTCTTCCTGACTAGATATTTATTTCCTTGCCCTAACAAAGTGTCTAATTCCTCATTGTGATTGTATGTTTTCTTCCTCCTGACTGTGTGATTTCCTCTTAACTATTTTCTTTGTCTTGACAGTGTTTTCTTCCTAGTGACTTGGCATTTATCTTCCTCCTGACTGGGTGTTTTCGTTTCCTTCTTGAATTAGTGTTTTCCTTTTGATTGTTATCATCATCATCATGAATGAGTGTTTCTTTCCTCCAGACTGAGAAGTTTCTTCCTCCTGACTGCATGTTTTCTTCCAGTTGAACGAGTGTTTTCTTCCAGTTGAATGAGTGTTTTCTTCCTCCTGGCTGAGTATTTTCCTCTTGAATGTTTTCTTTTTCATCTTGGCTGACGGTTTTCTTCCTCCTGACTGGGTGTTTTTTCCTCCTCATGCCTCCCCCCCCTGATTACTTATTCTTCCTCCTCATGACTGGACATTTTCTCCTCATATTTGCCTGTAGAAAAATCACTGGATCGGGTGCCCCCTTTTTCCCAGTATGCGGCTGAAAGTCATATTTTTCTCCTAAATAGAAATATCTTGTACCAAGGGAAAATAATGTAGGCATTAAAAGAACTATTGACATTACATGAAATTTTGAAATGTAGGTGAAGACATTATAAAAACATAATAATTAATTGGCAGAATTTTTTGAAAGACAGACACAAAGAGTTTATAAAAAAATATAATTCGGTATTACTGAAAAAAAAGGCTATGTTTATCTGCAAGGCAGTCTGTCGAGAATTGTTAGTTCATATTCTGCAGTTGAACAAGGATTAGACTTTTTGTTTTATCTAGAAAAAATAATCACTCCTTAATATTTGATTCTGCGAAACATCCTAGAAGATATTAGGAATTAAGTGATCTGTAAAAAAAAAATATTATGAATAAATATACATAATAATTACATACTATGAAACTTGAAAACGAAAGGTAATATAGATGAGGTATAAATAAAACAGAATGGAGATTAACATTTAAGTTCATAATCCTCAACAACAGTAAATGCAGACCTGCTCAACAATTTGTGCACTTTTGACATTAATCACAAGAAGTGCAAATATTACACTGGATTTACGTCCCTAAGATTCTACATAAAAATCAAAAAATGTAACCGATGGCGGCACCATATTTCAGTTATATCTAAACATGATATTAAGGCTATTCATCCTTCATCACCGAGAGCCTGTTCCTCTGTACTCAACACAGAGACTACTGCAAACGAACCCACACTCTGCAGAACTACAATCCTGTATGCAATTCTTTTTTATTCTTATTTTCTACCTCATTATCATGTCCTTATCAAGGGTATGGTGTGAAGGGGAGGAGTAAGATGGGTCAAGGTCTTGTATAGTGAATTGCAAATGATACAGTATTAATGTGTGTATGTGTATGTGTATGTGTGTGTGTGTGTGTGTGTGTGTGTGTGTGTGTGTGTGTGTGTGTGTGTGTGTGTGTGTGTGTGTGTGTGTGTGTGTGTAATTCTCTATTTTTCCTCTTCCTCCTCATCCAGCTCCACGTCCTCCTCCACTTCCTCCTCCTCCACTTCCTCCTCCTCCACCTTGCCCTTCTCCTGCTCCTTCTCCCCGTCCTCCTCCTCCCTGAACATGGCGTCCATCAGTTGCACTTGAAACTTAAAATTCGAGTTCCTGCGCTCCTTCTCCGTTCTCGTCGATCTCCTCCACAATGCGGTTGGCCTTGAGGCAGACGTGGCGCTGCGCACACTTGCTCGGGCAGCACTTCTCGTCGCTCGCGCAGTACCCGTCGGAGGCGCAGGCGGCGGCCTTCTGGTTGTCGCCGTTATTCTGGAATGGAGAGAGGGATGCTAGATTACATTCATATAACTGGTGATGATTAATCTTTATCAGAACCTGTTTGGAATGGTAAACGTTTATATATTTTATTATTAATATACAAACGTTCTTCACACATCAAACAATCTTATCACAACCTAAACATTCGTGCACTTTGAGAACTTCACTCCTTACCCCAGACTTGATCGGAACTTCCTTGTCTCCGTCGCAATCTTCTTCCTCTATCTTGGGGCAGGAACCTTCGTGGTTGTCATGGTTCCTGGGTTCTGGAGAGAGAGAGAAAAAAAAAGGGGGGGGGGATGGATTAGTCCGCTGGACGTTACGTTAATTGCATTAGATATTGGAGGTTCTTGACGTGAACTAAGAATTTATGTCTTCATATTTCTAAGTATCTTATTAAATGTTGCTTATTCAAATTTCTTGCTAATTATGATTTCTTTAGATAATGGGATTTTGAATAATTCGCTTGAAGGTGAGAAGGAGGGGCACAGAGGCAAAGACAAAGTACGTGAAAGAGCTTGGTAGGGAAAAAAGTTAAGGAACCACTGATATAGAATAATGTTCTTGCCAAAAAATAAGACAAAATAATAACAATAACAATGTTAATGAATTACAGATGACATCATAATACAAACTGCCGTTCTTGCCACAAAAAAAAGAAAACAACGTAGTATTTATTACGAGTCACAATACATTTTAAAAATACGTATATGACTCAACAGATAAAGACCTAATTCACCCACCTTCCAAACTACCATCGTCACAACAGTAAGTCTCGTTGGCCCAGAAGCAGTAGTAGCGGCAGCTGGTATAAGCGTACTTGAGGCACAGGTGCTTCTTGGCGCAGGGCGTCGGGCAGCACTTCTCGTCCTCGGCGCAGTAGCCGTCGGAGGCGCAGGAGGGCGTGTCCACTGGCGAGCCCGTGAACAATTTCTTGATCGTGGGTTTCTCACTCTTTAAGTATACATACATGCATAATTATGTGCGTATACATACTCAAATGTATACATACATGCATATGTGTGTGTGTGTGTGTGTACATACATATGTGTGTATGCAAACATATACATATATATATATATATATATATATATATATATATATATATATATATATATATATATATATATATATATATATATATTTATATATATGTGTGTGTGTGTGTGTGTGTGTGTGTGTGTGTAAGAGAGAGAGAGAGTGTGTGTGTGTATGTGTATGTAATATAGATAGATAGTTAGATATTTATATACATGTATGTAACATATATAATATATAATATATATATGTATATATATCATGATTCATTTCTTTATCTAGTAATTTGTTGGTCACACATACATTCGTGTGTGTGATCCTCTTTTTTATGGTCATATTTTTACAAGAGTTTGACGTTTTTGTTTCTCTTTAGACTACTTATTAGAAAGTTACAAGGAATATCCAGCGACATACCTTATCACTTTGGTAGATGCCATCTTTCTTGCAGATGTGTTCTTCCATATTTACACAAGTTCCTGGATGGTCATAGTGATCTTGAGGCACTGAAAGAGAAAGAGAGAAATAAAGTAAAGTATAGAAGAACAAAGGATAGGGGAAAGAGAATGGCGCGCGCACACAGACACACACACACACACGCACAAACACACGCACACGCACACGCACACGCACACCCACACACAAACACACACACACATAAACACACACACACATAAACACACACACACATAAACGCACACACACACGCACACACACACACACACACACACACACACACACACACACACACACACACACACACACACACAATCACACGCACACACACACACACACACAATCACACACACACACACACACAATCACACACACACACACACACACACACACACACACACACACACAATCACACGCACACACACACACACACACAATCACACACACACACACACACAATCACACACACACACACACACACACACACACACAATATCAATACAATTTTTTGTCACTTACGAGGCCTGGTGCCATCGTCACAGCAGTAAATTTCCTCATTGTAGCCACAGTAGTAGCGACATTCTGAAAGAATTTTTTTTTTTTTTAGCAATCTTTCTACGTTTTATAAGATTCGGTCAACTTAGTATATAACTACCATTTAAATCATTTCTTATAACACACTTCTACTTTTAAGTATGAATGTTCTTATTTCTGAGTATAGTGTATTCCAATCACAGATTAATTTGAAATGGCTCTTTTTATAAACCCTGAATATCTGAATATTTAATCGACACAATGATTTTAAAGAATATTTACGTCTCTAAAGTATTGTTGGTAGTGCCTTTCCCTAGAAGTGACAATCAATGATATGAAAAAAAGCAAAATGGCTCTATCTACAAAGTATTGTAATGAGGGCCAATTTTTTTTACACTGAGTTGTAGAAGTAAACAGTATAAATTATGGTGGCAGGGATGTCTGTCATAGGAGAATAAATGATGGTAATTATGATAATATTAGTTATAATGATTATCAAAATAATAATGATGATGATAATAATAATAATAATGATACAAAGAAGAAGCAGAACAAGAAGGAGGAAAAGGTATCTGTCAAAAGAAAACAAAATTTTTCATTTCTATTTCAGATTCTTTTTTTCACAAATAAATATATCAGTAGTAAAGCTCGTGCAATGTTCTGCTTTATGAAACAAACAATACGAGATTAGAATGTGACATTACGAACACTATCTCTGCCTTTGTGGGTATGTATACGAAATATTTTTTTCTCTTTTCTGCATTTCTAATTTATTTTTACGAGTCTCACCTGTTGCAAGGGGTGTTTCTTCTATCAGTGCATTCAGTGAATTCTCTGTAAATAAAAAAAAACAACAACGTAGATTGTAACGGAGTTAAACACATCAACAATAAAGGTATAATGTATTTACGACACTAAGGGAGATCTCGGGCAGCACTTCTCGTCCTCGGCGCAGTAGCCGTCGGAGGCGCAAGGGGGCGTGTCCACTGGCGAGCCCTCGAACAGCTGCTCCGTCGTGTTCGCTCCGGTCTGAGCAACAATAGGTACAGTATGTGTGTGTGTGTAAAGGATTCACGATGAGCGAGTTGTGCAAAAAAAAAAAAGAAAAAAAAAGAAAAAAACGGAAATGTGATGTTATGCCGAAGGCCTTCTCGTCTTACCATTTCCTCAGGGTATGACGAAACGGTAAATTGGAAAAGAATTCGGTATAATCGAAGCTTTCCTTAAATTTCCCTTGTGTGCGCGGGTGAGTGTGTATGATTAGCAAGTAGTTTTTCTCTCAAGACTCATGTTGTAAGAATCGTACACTGTATTCCTTTATTTACCACAACTTACCCCATCAATAGCGTTGTAATAAATAGCATCGTCCTCACAGATGTGTTCGCTCATGTCTACACAAACACCTGCATTGTCATCGTGATCCGGAGGAACTGTAAGAGGCAAAGAGAATTTTCAAAGGAGTGATCAAGAGAGAAAAAGGAAAAACAGAGACAGAGGAGAGGGAGAAAATGAATGCGAGAGAGACACACACACCCAGAAAAAAAGGAAAGAGAAATCAAAAGAGAAGATACTGTCCAAAGTTATTTTAACGTACGTATGTCAATATGCAAATGTCTTTACAGAAAACACCACTTACTGGGTCTGGTGCCATCATCGCAGCAGTAAGCATCCCCGTCGTAACCGCAGTAGTAGCGGCAGTCTGGAAGGTAAATCAATGAATATGTCTTAAAGTAAGAAATTGAATAGATAAATAAATGATGAGTAATAATCTAATGAAAAGTAAATTAATTAATAAGATAGTAAATTGAGAAAATTAAGGTGACAAGGATTTTTTCTGTACCTAAATGATAAAAAAATAATCCAATTGAGGTTTTAAGATAAGAATATGACAAAGTATTCCGTGCCAGCACAATGATGATAATATTCAGTAACTAAACTATGTACATTAACTTACTGCTTGGCGGGGGAGTTGAGAATTCGCGAAGAGCAACTGTCGAACGAAAGCAAAATTTGTTACTGTAGTTCTCCATCCGTGCGAAATTTCAGTCTAGCCTATTCCATCAGTTGGACTTAATGTGATTTTCTGTTCTTCATTGTCAAAAAGATTCTTTTTAGTAGGTTGGGATATATATCTATATATTTATATATTTATACAAACATATATCTAGATGTAGATGTAGATATAGATTAAAATCTTGCTGTACGGATTCTTTTTACTAGGACCTTTTCTTGTAATTAAAAAAACTAATTCATTTAATCTACAATATTTTCCACACACAATATCCGTGGCAAATAAGTGTGTGAAACCCTATTTCAGAAACATCTCCCACTCTGCCTTACTCTGTTATCCTTAATCCTTTTGATTTCATTTGCATTTCCACCAAAGAACTTTCTCGAAACCTCACCCTCCGCTGCGGCGGCGAGGCACAGGTGCTTCCTGGCGCAGGGCGTCGGGCAGCACTTCTCGTCCTCGGCGCAGTAGCCGTCGGAGGCGCAAGGGGGCGTGTCCACTGGCGAGCCCTCGAACAGCTGCTTCGTCGTGTTCACCCCATTCTGGATAACGAAATATACAGTGTATGTAATCACACACACACACACACACACACACACACACACACACACACACACACACACACACACACACACACACACACACACACACACACACACACACAGACTCACACTCACACACACGTATATGAAGCCGCGGTGGCCTAGGGGTTAGAGCATCAGACTCAAAGACTGTCACGACAATCTGAGTTCGAAAGTTCGAATCACCGGCCGGCGCGTCGTTCCCCTGGCAAGGAACTTCACCTCGATTGCCTATAGGTAACCCGATCAGGGATACGTGAAGCCAAAGTTAGCAAATGGAGGACGTGGATTGCAAGCAAGAATGCACTCAATGATTGAACCACGCTATGCTGAGCAGATCAACCATGTTATGGTTAATGGTCAAGGATCACCCGTTTAGTATAGACACTGCTACTAAAGAAAGCAAAGGGAACCTACTTCACTAGCTCTCCCCAGTTCCATCAATGATCAGATTATTGATGTGTGTGTGTGTGTGTGTGTGTGTGTGTGTGTGTGTGTGTGTGTGTGTGTGTGTGTGTGTGTGTGTGTGTGAGTGAGAGAGAGCGAGTGCTAAAAAGTTCTATTGTCTTACCGCAAAGTTAACAACAACCTTAAAGTACCAATAAAAAAAAAAAAATCTTAATGAAGAACCCCATACGTTCATTGAGCTCTCTGAAATGTATGTACGTGTGTGCGTGTCTGTAACCACAACCTCCATTCCTCATCTCTACACCTAAATCACTAGATAGCATAGACAAAAATAACAGATAATAACATACGATATATCCTCTAACCACCACAGCCGCTTACCTTACCCTACTTGTTACAAAAAAAAAAAAAAAAAAAAAAAAAAAAAAAAAAAAAAAAAAAAAAAAAAAAAAAAAATACACACAAGAAAAATAAACGCAAAGCCCTTTTGCTTATCACAGAAACTTACATTGTCAACGATGGTATAGTAGATAGCGTCATTTTCACAGATGTGTTCTTCCATTTCTACGCAAGCGCCTACATTGTTATCGTGATCGGGGGGAACTGGAAGAGACAAAATGACAATAATTATGATGAAAATGATAAGTATGATGATAATGGTGTTAATGATAATATTTATGATAATAATGATAATCATAATAGTTATGATGACAACGATGATAATGATAATAATGATGATGATAATGATAATAGTTATGATGATAATGATAATAATTATGATGATAATGCTAATAGTTATGATATATGAGAGGTAAGAGAGAGAGACACAGAGACGCTCCTATATACAGTAGAGTTTGACGTATATATATATATATATGTGTGTGTGTGTGTGTGTGTGTGTGTGTGTGTGTGTGTGTGTGTGTGTATTTTTTTTACTTACAAGGTCTGGTGCCATCATCACAGCAGTATGCATATCCCTCGTACCCACAGTAGTAACGGCATTCTAGAAATAAGTAAATCAAAATGAAACCCGATAAAAATGATAATTATTATGATAATGCTAATAACAGTAATAGTGATATTGATAATGATGACGATGATAATAATAATAATAACATTAATGATGATAATGATAATAATAACAAAAATAATAACAATAATAATGATGATAATAATAATAATAATAATGATAATAATAATAATAATAACAATGATAATGATAATAATAATGATAATAATAATAATAATAATAATAATAA